AGTTCCAGACCAGCCTGGCCAACATAGAGAAACCCTGTCTCTACTAAAAATACAAAAATTAGCCGGATGTGGTAGCACACACCTGTAATCCCAGGTACTCAGGAGGCTGAGGCAGGAGAATTGCTTGAACCTGGGAGGCGGAGGTTGCAGTGACCTGAGATCACCCTAATGCACTCCAGCCTGGGTGACAGAGCAAGACTCCATCTCTCTCTTTCTCTCTCTCTCTCTCTCTCTGTGTGTGTGTGTGTGTGTGTGTGTGTGTGTGTGTGTGTATTTATATTCAATAGGCTAAAGGGAAATATGGACATGGAGCTAAAGAAAATCAGAAGAATAAGGCATGAAACGAGGCAATCTCAATAAGATACATAAATTATAAACGGGAACCAAGTAGACAATATAGAGCTGAAAAACAAAATAGCAGAAACGAAGAATTCAGCTGGGCATGGTGGCTCACACCTGTAATGCCAACACTTTGGGATGCTGACCCCAGGAGTTCAAGACCAGCCTGGGCAACATAGTGAGACCTTGTCTTTACAAAAAAAGTATTTTTCTTAATTAGCCAGGTGTGATGGTGCATGCCTATAGTCCCAGCTACTTGGGAAGCTGAGGTGGGAAGATTGCTTGAGCCCAGGAAGCCAAGGCTGCAGTGAGTCACATTCATACCACTGCACTGCAGCCTGGGCAACATAGTGAGACTGTCTCAAAAAAGAAAAGAAAGACGTGAAGAGTTCACTCAAGGGGTTCAATGTCAGATTTGTGCACTTAGAAGAAAGGATCAGGGAACCTGAAGACAAGGCGATTGGAATTATCCACTCTGAAGAGCAGAAAGAAAAATGATGCAGAAAAATGGAATAACCCAAGGGACCTGGGACACCATCAAGTGTACCAACATACACATCACGGGAGTCCCGAAAGGAGAAGAGAAATAAAAAAGGGAAGAAAAATTATTTGAAGGAATAGTATCCCCAAACTCCCCAAATTTGATGAAATAAATGAATCTACATATCCCAGAATCTCAACAAACTGCAAACCGGATAAACTCAGAGATCCACAGTGAGAAACACTGTTGTCAAACTGTCAGAAAAAAACAAAGACAAAGAAAGCAGCAAGAGAGAAGCAACGGTCTCGTACAAAGGAGCCTCAATAAGATTTTTAGCAGATTTCTCATCAGAAGCCTTGGAGACCAGAAGGCAGTAGTATAAGTAAACTACACAAGAAAATATAAAATCAAGGATTATGATAGTTTTGGTTTGTAACTCCTGTTTTTTCTATATGATTTGAAAGACCAATTCATAAAACAGTAATTATAAATCTGTGTTAATGGACATAAAATATATAAAGATGTATCTGTGACCCCCAAATATCTGAGACAAGTGTGGGTCAATTCAGGAAGTTTATTTTGCCAAGGTTGAGGACGTGAGCCCGTGACACAGCCTCATTAGGTCCTGATGCCACGTGCCCAAGGTGGTCTGGGCACAGCTTGGTTTTATACATTTTAAGGAGACATGAGACATCAATATATGTAACGTACATTGGTTCTGTCTGGAAAAGTGGGACAGCTCAAATTGGGGAGGGGGCTTCTGAGTCATGGATAGATAAGTGACAAACAGTTGCATGCTTTTGAGTTTCTGATTAGCCTTTCCAAAGGAAGAAATCAGATATGCATTTATTTCAGTGAGCAGATGGATGACTTTTTCTATCCTTTGTCCACAAAGAATTTTTCCACAAATTTGTGCACACAAATTTGTCCACCAGGAGCTGAGGCCAAAACGTTGGTCTCTTTTATTCACACCTATGTGCCAGGAACACCCCGATGGCCTCGGCGTCTGCACTTCTCCCCACCTGCCTGCCCTCCACAAGCTCACTCTCGATGCTCTTCCGCAAGGCAGTCAGGGACCTGTTAGAGCCGGGCAACGCAAAGGCCCTGCCTCTGCAGTCTCTGTTCACACTTTACCTTGTCTGAGCCTCCCAGGGACCACCCTATTTTTGAAATTTTATATTTTATTTATCTATTGAAATAGTGTCTTGCTCTGTCACCCAGGCTGGAATGCAGTGGTGCAATCATGGCTCACTGCAACCTCAATCTCCCAGGCTCAAACAATCCTCCTGCCTTGGCCTCCCAAAGTGCTGGGATTACAAGTGTGCAACACAGTGCCTGGCCTCACCCTATTTTATTTCATTTTAATTTTTAGTTTATTATTTTTGAGGTGGGGTATCATTCAGTCGCCCAGGCTGGAGTGCAGTGGTGTGATCTCAGCTCACTGCAACCTCTGCCTTCCGGGTTCAAGCGATTCTCCTGCCTCAGTCTCCTGAGTAGCTGGAATTACAGGCGCCCACCACAATGCCTGGTTAATTTTTGTATTTTTAGTAGAGATGGGGTTTCCCCATGTTGGCCAGGCTGGTCTCAAACTCCTCACCTCAAGTGATCCACCTGCCTCAGTCTCCCAAAGTGCTGAGATTACAGGCAGGAGTCACCACGCCCAGCCCCACCCTATTTTAGATTGCAGCTCCCCACACTCCCAATCGCTCTCCCCAGCCTCATTCTTTACCCCACGCTGGCACCAGCCACGCCCCTTCGCTTACGTATGCCACCTGGCTCTGGTTGTCTCTCCCATGCAAAGGTCAGCTCCATGATCCCAGTTTGCCCGGGACTGTCCTGGTGTCAGCACTGACATTCCGACCCAAGACCCTCCTTAGTGCCAGGCAGCCCCAGACTTGGTCCCCCAGCTGCAGGGCCCGGGATCTTTGCCAATGTTGTTTGTTCCCAGTGCTGGGTCGGTGCCCAGGGTCCCGGGCCTGCTCAGCTGTGCGTGATGAGTGAATGAGGAAGGCGGGTGTCCAAGGCTCACCCGTGTTAACACTGTGGCCCAGATGTGAGCAGGGCTGTGCGCCCTCGTGCAGCTGCTCCCGCCCGCCCCTACTGCACCCCCCATTTCTGGGGCCCGGGGTGCTCAGCACTTTTCTCCTGGCAGGTGTGGGGGTGGGTTTCCGGCGGTGGTGGTGGAGAGCGGCAGCGACGCTGGCCGAGGAGGCGGTGAGTGCACTGGGCTGTGGGCACTCTGTGTTGGGTGCTGGGGCGCCTGACCCGGCTCAGCACTGGCACTGAGAGCCACTGCCACCTGGTGGCAGCATGCGTGTATCCTCCAGCAGGTGCCTCCCTTGTCTGGGAGGGACAGTAGGACAGCTGAGATCTGAACACAGCCTCTTAAGAGTCCCAGAAGACTCAGTTTCCCCCATCTGTGGAAGGCTTGAGGGAGCCACACCCAGTCAGGCAGGAGCTCAGCTCTGTGACCCTGCTCTGGCAAATCCTCCCTAGCTCCAACTCCACACTGGCCAGGATTCCCGGAGTAGCCCCGGGTCAGAGCAGGGGTCTTTGTGCACCACAGGGAGCACCCCTGGCTGGTCCAGGAGGCAGGAGCAGGAACCTGGGGCGGGGGCTGCCCTGCTGAGCTGGGACACTGGTCTTCTGGCTGGGGGTGGACAGGGGTATCCAGAGGAGACACGGAGAGAGCAGAGTGGCAGCCTGTGCTGAGCCCCCCGCCCCCACTGTGCCCCTGACCTCCTCCACGTTAGGGAGGGGCACCTGGGCAAGTGGCAGCCTGCATCCCCCCATGCCCCCGATGTGCAGGTTAGGGAGGGGCACCCTCTCCATGCCCCCACTGGCCTCCCTGCCCCTTGTGCCCAAACCCAGCTTCTCAAGCCCCTGACCTGGCCTGACCTCTGCATCCCCAGGGTGTCCCCACCACTGCTCCTTTATGGGGACACTTGGATGAGGATGTCTGGTCACACCATGTGACACTGACCTTAGCTGACCCCAAATCCACTCCCAGAGACCCTGCCCCTCCCCTGAGTCCCAAGGTGCTGCCTGCCCCTGACATGCCCAATGGGGTGTGGCCTCCCACGCCTTTGGGGTACTCTCGGGTCCAGCCTCATGGGGATGGCTCCACGACGCCCACAGTCCAGACTTGTCCCTGATGCCGTCACCATCCAGCCAGGCCCAAGCTCCATTCTGACAGCTACCCCTGGACCAGCGTTTACTGAGTGGAGGGGACTTGCTCGCTCTGCAGTCCCCTCTCCAGTCTGTGGGGCAGAGCAGCCTCCATTGCAAGAAGGGAAAGAAGGCCCAGGGCCCATGGCAGGCTGGAAGACGGCAGCCTGGGCCCAGACTGCGGTGGGAGTGCATCTGCAGATGGGGTGCGACCACCGCCAGGACAGGCCGGGCACGCAGCCCTGCACAGCACTCAGGTGAGACGTCCAGGCTCCAGAGGGCGGCTCAGCGGGGAAGCCAGGGAGCCTATGTGACCCACACAAGAGGTCTTCGAGGGCCGACCCCACGGCCCACTGCACAGGCCACTGCTGGGGACCCCTGGCTGGGGTCTGGATGTGCCACTTGGAACGTCTCAGAACCACACATCCCAGCAGGTGGCCCCCAGGCAGGTGGCCTCTGAGACTACAGGAAGTGACTGACCCTTGCTGGGTGAGTGGGGCTGGGATCTAGGGAAGCTGAGACCCTCTGGAGGGGTCCAAGTGGGGCGGGTGCCCCAGTGAAGCTCAGCACCCAAGGATGCACAGATAGGGGAGGTGGACTCCAGCCAGTGTGGGGTGCCCCGGGCAGAAACAGGTGATCCTTGACCACCTCGGGCTTGGTCAGCTACAGGAAGGGTGGGGTTGCACCTTGCACCCCAGAGCACTGGGGAAGCTCTGGGCAGCTGCCAGGGCCTTGTCTTCAGGGCCAGGCTCAGTGGCCATGACCATGAATTGTCTGAGAGGGAGGCTGGGGTCCAGCACCTGGGCCATTCAGGGAAGGGGTAGCCCACCCGGCTCCTGCTATTCCCAGGGGACTCAGGACAGGGTTGAAGGTCTTTTTTGTGACCCAGAGCCCCTGAGGGCCCCATGGAGCTGTAGCCCTAGGAGAGCCAGCAGATGCCTGGGCCCCACAGTCAGGTGAAACCACCCCACACTCTGAGGGGGGCCTGGCTCAGCTGTCCGAGGCTGTGCCTTGGCCTCCTGCCCCCCAGCAATGTGTCCCTGGCACCTACTTGTTCTTGAGGAGATTCCTGGCCTCAGGCTGCCATCCCATGGGGGTGGGTGCAACTGGAGAGAGATGTGGAGGTGGTACTGGCTGGGGCACCCCCTCCCAGCCCTGGCCCCACTGTGCGAGGCTGAGACAATGTGAGGGAAGGGGAGGGGGCTGCCCAGTCCTGGGGGTCAGTGGCTGTGGACAGCAGCCTCCTGTCTCCAGGGAGGCTCAGCAGACAAGTGAAGGGGGGCCCACCCTGGCCCCAAAAGCAGTGTGTGTTACCTCCAGATCCCCCGACCTGAGCCAGGCCCAGTCCTCCTGCTGCCTCCAGGCCTATCCCTGGGGCCGTGGACTTGCCCAGCATAGCATGGGCACTCCACAGTGGCAGGTGCCAGCCCCAGGGACACCTGACCAGCAGGTGTCCTTTGCCCCTTTCGTCTGTGAGCTGCTGGAGGTGACCTTTGCTGGGGAAGGGGACCCAGGCTTGGCCAAAAAGTATTGCTGGGAGAAGGGGGAGCTGAAGGTCTGCGGGTCCTGCCATGGCCCTGGGCATGTCCTGTGGGCAGCAGGCCAGAGGCTGCCCTGAAATGGCTGTGGCTCGGCTGAGCTGAGGAGACATTCCAGAGACCCCTGCCTGGCGCACTGGTGCTCCCTGGAAAGGGTCTCCAGAGGCCCTGGGTTCCTGGCTGTCCTATCCACCCCCTCCCACCCCTCCCACCCCTGTGGCTCTTGCGATTCACCCCACCTGAAGCTAGGCAAGCTCTTGAGCTCACAGGGAGGGTGCAGGTGGGAGTGCCAGCTCTGACCCTTCCTGGACTCCAAGGCAGAGCCACGCTCCTGACCACACCCGGACACACGTGCTTAGTTCTGTCCACTGGGCAGAGTCCTGTCCTGATGTACCCTGGGTCCTGGGAGCCTGGGCCTCAGTGGCTCGTTGGCAAAGGGACATCCCAAGTCACTGGTGGTTGGAACCAGAGCTCCGATCAGGGAAGGTGGACCCCCAGGGAGGAGGAGGCAAGGCCAGTGACAGAGTGAGACCAGGGAGGGTGTGTGGGAGGCCCAGCGGTATGTGGTGGAGGGAACTGCGAGGCTGGAGGGCAGTGGTGGGCACAGGCCTGGGTTTGGCACGGAAGCCTGACCTGTCTCAGGGCTGGGTGGTCTCCCCGTCTCCCCCACCCAGTCTTCTGTTCAGTGCACGCCATACCCAGCCCACTGTGGGAGGCCGGGAGTGCCTGGGTCTAGTCCTCAGCCTCCTGTGGCCCCTGAGAGCTGGGCACCCGCTGGAGTGGAGGTTGCAGAGCTGCTGGGGGACGGAGAAGTGTACATCGGTCCTCCAGCCCTGCAGGCACAAGGCAGCTACGTCAACATGGCCTCCTGCTTCCCCCGAGGATGATGGGAAGGGGGGGTGTGAACTGAGCTCCATCAACACGGCCTCCTGCTTCCCCCGAGGATGGGGATGGGAAGTGGGGGGTGTGAACTGAGGTCCTGCAGTGGAGGAGATGGGTAGGGGCTGGGCACAGCAGCAACACCCACCTGGATGCAGATGCCTGGGGCACAGGCCTCCTCCCTGGGAAGGTCCAGGAAGGCAAAGGCAGGGGCGGCTGCGGGGTCACCCTGGGATGGGGGAGGGCAGGTCACAGGCAGTGGGAGGAAGGGCAGATCAGGCTAAACCCTGTCCTTCTCCCACATCCTCTCAGCACAAAGCAGGGCTGGCCCCCTACCCCTCCCTGCCAGGTAGGCTAGACCCTGGGTGGGCTCAGGGCCCAGGTGGGGCAGAGACCACTACAGGGAAGTGATGGGGTCCTGCTGTCCCCCCCCACCCACTTCCCCAGGATGGAGCCCCTCTCTCGGCTCACTGAGGCTGGAGGGAGCGGGCTGGCCTGGAGTGCGGGTTGGCAGGCAGGGAGCTGTGACTTCCTCCTGTGACACAGGTGCACCTGGAAGTGGGCGGGGCTGGACGAGAAGAAGGTGGCCCGGAGGTGGCCCTTCATGGGCGAAGGCTGGATGGTCATTTTCCAGGCTGTGGGGAGTGAAGGGTGAGACTCCCATCTGGCCCAGCACCCCACTGCCTCCCTTCCTTCCCCAGAGGGCCCAGTGCCTGCCCACTGTACCTCCCCCAACCCACCCGGTCCCTCACTGGCCCAGCACTGTTATCCCACCTCCCCGACCAACACAGAGTGACATAAAGGATGTTCTGTGCTGCGTCCACGCTGTGCAGGCCCCATGGAGAACTTACTTGGGAAGCGACGCTGTTCAAAAGGGCACCGCACCCAGGACCCCCAACTGGTGGAGAACTGCAGAGTGGGGTGAGGGGTGCAGGAGGGTGGAGTGTGTGCAGGGCAGGACAGAGACAGGCTGGGTCAGCTTCAGGGTGCTCTGGCCCAGATCCCCTCCTTAGGCCCTTAGCTCACCCACTGTCAGACCAGAAGGGGGCTCTGAGGGACGGCTGGGAGGGTGGGCTCCAGGGCTGGGCAAGGGCCCCTGCCCCACTTCCTGTCCTGATGCCCCCTGGCCCCTCCCCAAATAGGGCACTGGCAGGCTGTGGCAGCCCCTCACCTTCAGGCAGAGCTGGGGTTGGGTGTCCACCAGCGGGTACTGCACCTGAGGAGGGCTGGGGTCAGGCTGTGGCATCCATGCCCACCCCCATCCCTGCCGAGCAGGCACTCACTCTTCGATGCACCAGCTGGCTGGATCGCTGCAGCTTACGACAGCCGGCCCCGGGCCCCGGGCGCCAGCACAGGCTCACATGGCCACTCACAGGGCAGGTGGGCTCCCAGCTCAGTGTCTGGCTCCCTGGGTGGTAGTAGACCGTGTCCCACAGCACCTCCAGTGCCTCAGTGTCTGCAGGAACCCTCCCCCAAACACAGGTCAGTTGGCCCCTACTCTTGCTGCCAGGCCCATGGGGTCTAGCACCCACTCAAGTGACCACTGGGCCAGGGTCCAGAGCAGTCCTCCTATGGGTTGCTGAGCCCTGTCCCAAGTCTGTGCATGTGTGTGCATGTGTGTGCGCGCCTATGTGTGTGCCTGTGCATGGGTGCGTGTCCATGGGCATGGGTGTGTGTGCCTGCCTGTGCATGGGTGTATTCATGTGTATGTGTGTGCACGTGTATGGGTGTGTATGTGCATGGGTGCGTGTCATGGTGTGGGTGTGTATATGCATGGGTGTGCCTGCCTGTGCATGGGTGTGCCTTTGTGTGCATGTGTATGGGCGTGCATGTGCATGGGTACGTGTGCATGTGTGTGTGCAATGTCGCTGAGCAGAACCGAGAGCAGGGCATCTCTCTTTTATTTTTTTCAGACGGAGTCTCTCTCTGTCCCCCAGGCTGGAGTGCAGTGGCGTGATCTCAGCTCACTTGCAAGCTCCGCCTCCCTGGTTCACGCCATTCTCCTGCCTCAGCCTCCCGAGTAGCTGGGACTATAGGCGCCCCCCACCACGCCCGGCTAATTTTTTGTATTTTTAGTAGAGACGGGGTTTCATGGTAGCCAGGATGGTCTTGATATCCTGACCTCGTGATCCGCCCGCCTCAGCCTCCCAAAGTGCTGGGATTACAGGCGTGAGCCACCGCGCACGGCCTGGGTATCTCTCTTGTGCCCCTCAGACAGCCCCTCTTGACAGCCTTGATTTTCCCAGGTGAGCTGGGCCACGTGAGCACACACACACACACACACACACACACGTGCACATCCACATCTGTGCACAGGTTCCCTTGGTGACAGGCCCAGGGATTTAGGCTGGGCCTGCCCCTTATCTCATCCCCCCGCGTCAGTCCTCATGGTGGGATCAGCCTGGCTGCAGCCATTCCCACCCTCCCGCCCTTTGGCATCGCAGGACACTTGCCGTTTTCAAAGGGGCAGATCTGGGTCCGCACCGCATCAGGGGTCGCAGACCAGCCCTGTGGGAGGGGTTGGGGTCAGCGCAGCCCGCCCACCCCTGTGTTCCCCCACCTGCCCCAAGTACAGGCCACACCTCCAGGCACAGGCACGGCAGTTCCTGGCTGTAGGGCAGGGAGACGACCCGGGAGACGTTGTTGGCGGTCACCTGCAACCCAGAAAGGGCGGTTGAGGGGCTGCGCGGGAGGGCGGGGGTGGTCTGAGGTGGGCGGGGCCTGGGCCTGACGGGGCGGGGACGGGAGGTGGGCGGGGCCTAGGCCTGACCGGGGCGGGGACGGGAGGTGGGCGGGGCCTAAGGTTGACCAGGGCGCGGGGCGCAGGCGCTCACTTGCACCGGGGCGCCCACGTCCTCGCAGGTGAACCGCTTGTGGCAGAGCCGCACGTAGTAGTCGGGGCTCCCAGAGGCCCTGGGCACCTGCACCAGAATCGCCTTGCGCCTCCGGTCCACCCAGTAGCTGAGCTTCCCGGCTGCAGGAGGCCGCAAGTCGGGGCCGCGCTGGGACCAGGGGTCACCGACACGGGGCTCTGTCCCGAGAGCCCCGACGTGGCGGCTCCTGTTTGGTTCAGGCGTTTGGCAGCCGCCCACCCGAGGGCCCCTCGGGATTTCCCAAACGGTGCAGAAGACCCCGGGGAGAGGAAGCCTGTCGCAGCGTCCAGGGGTCTTCGCCAGGGCGTCGAAGGAGGGAACTCACCGAGGCAGTCAGGCACGTTCCTCCCCACGTCCTCCTCTCCGCAGTCTGCAAAGCGCAGAGGCAATGGCGGGGTGCGGGCTGCCCTGCCCTGGGGGCAATCCTCCTCCACCCGCCCCCTCCGCACCCCCTGCCCCCACCCCGCGCTGTGCCTCCGCCATGCGACCTCGAATTAAGCCAAAGGCCTTGCGGGGATCTGTCCAGTGTGAGGGCCAGGCCCCTGCCCTGGGAAGTCCCACCCCAAGCCAGGCCCTGGAGGCTGAACGGCAGCTGTGCCCAGGGGGGCCCTGGGGACCCTACCTTCCACGAGGTGCTTCTGATCCAGCTGGACCCCGCAGAAATGAGGGATGGTCCTCAGGGTGACATAGAGGTGCTGGGCCACGCTCACCGCAAAGCAGCCAAAGTACACCTGGAGCTGAGCAGGTGCAGATGTGAGCTGCGTGGACTCAGAGGCACTGCCCTCCCCAGCCGGCCAGCTCCATTTGCGTGGCTGGAGCTCAGAGCGAGGGATGGCGCCCAGGAGGAGCGGTGCCCAGTCTTCGGGACGTGGGTGGCAGAGCCCTGCCCTGGCCTCACCTGCTGCCCCACCTGCTGCCGGTGGGAGGCCCTGGCCACCCACACGCTCTGACACTGCGTCTCCTGGGTGTCCAGGCTCACGGTGCAGGCCTCCAGGCCCCGCAGGTGCTCTGGGTGGAGGAAGGGCCCAGCAGGGCACGTCAGAGTAGGGCTGCCCCTGGCTCCAGACGGGGCTGTGGGACCCTGTTCCTCTGCCTTCTCTCTGTGAAGTGCGGTTAGCAGCGCCCCGCTCCCTCACCAGGCTGCCCAGGGTTTGATGGGAATAAAAGGCACCTGGGCCCACTGCTGGACCTGTGGGTGTTACTCCCACCCTCGAGGCCACCTCTCACCATGCAGGGTGATGGAGGCGCGTACACGCAGGAACAATGAGCAGCCGTCAGAGGGGATACATTGCATGGCAGTGTAGGACGTCAGGGCCTCCAGGACTGACCTGGACATGGACACAGGGCGTGGCCGGCAGAAGCTGTTAAAAATGTTCCCTGGGGAGAGAGAAGGCGTGTGAGGCCTCGAGTTCCCTGGTGCTTGGAAAGGCTTTGTGGTTGGTTCTGTGAAGGGTGAGAGAGCCCTGGGACTGCACAGTCTTTGCTGGGGGGTCTTTACTATCTTGCCCCAAGCCAAGTGGGGAGCAAGCCCTCTGGCATGTAGTGAGCCCACCCCGAGACACACTCTGAAATGTCTGTGGGACCCCAGCAGTGGGCCCAGGTCAGTGGGGCAGGCTGCACACCAGTCTGCATCAGAGCAGTAGAAGCTGCTGCCCCACCTGGCCAGCAAGGGGGCAGGGAGCCCACCTTGACTTGCCGGCAAGCTCTGTCGCCTCTGCTCAAAGACGAACAGCAGAAAAGGCCAACATGGGCTTGCTGGGACACCTGGGAGGCGACCGCAAGGTTGCTGCAGCCCAGACCTCTGTCCACAGGGAAGTGGCCACATCCTTGCAGGGAGGGTTTGCCTCCAGGGCCTTTTGCTCGGAGACCAAACACCATTCCAGGCAGCCGCATCAGACCTGCGCAACGGGGAGCTGGGGTATCATTTTGGGCACCAGGGGCTCAGCAATTTTGCTGCCTTTGCTCAGCCAGGTTTGCAGGTGGGACTCAGAGCAGAACTTCACGTGAGCCACAGAGCCTGGCAAGCCGGCATTCCACAGGAGGACTGCCACCCTCTTTATAGAAGGCCTGGCCACCGAGGCATGGCACCTCATGCTGTTGGTGAGACAGTGCAGCTGCTGCTCAGAGGAGCCCACACTGAACACGGCACCCTGCTGAGGCAGGAGAGGAAGGAATGAGGGTAACCAGGAACGAAGGGATAAGCAAAAGAACAGCAGGTGCAGCCAGTTCCAGGCAAGATGAGGCAGCACACAGGCCACAGCCTCCCTCCTGTGATAATGAGACTCCACTTCAGTCTCTGATTGTTGCAGACTCATCCTCCACAGGGTGTAACCCACTGGAAACCTCCAAAGGGCAGCTAGGGGTGTTACCAAATTCTTTTAGCTTTATGAAAACCTTGGGGCGCATTGCAATCGGGGTCCTTGGCCGCTCGCTTGAGCCTGCTCCCACTCTGTGGAGTGCTCTTTCTCTTCAGTAAATCTGTGCCCTCCTTACTCCATTCTTTTTTGTTGCTTTACTTGTGTGTTTTGTTCAGTTCTTTGTTCAACACGGCAAGAACCTAGACAACTGACAGCTGAGACCTTCCACCCAGTAACTCTGTGCCTCAAAGGGGCAATGGGAACGAAGAGGTCCGAACATACTATGGGTAAGAAATCCAACTCTTTCTCCTTTTTTTTTGTTTCGAGACGGAGTTCCGCTCTGATGCCCACGTTGGAGCACAGTGGCGTGATCTCGGCTCACTGCAACCTCTGCCTCCTGGGTTCAAGCAATTCTCCTGCCTCAGCCTACCGAGTAGCTGGGATTACAGGCATGCACCACCACGCCCGGCTAATTTTTGTATTTTTAGTAGAGACAGGGTTTCACTATGCTGGCCAGGCTGGTCTCAAAGTCCTGACTCAGGTGATCCGCCCGCCTCGGCCTCCCAAAGTGCTGGGATTACAGGTGTGAGCCACCACGCCCAGCCAGAAATCCAACTCTTACAAATTCCCACTGCAGTCCAGAGAGACTCACAGCAATCTGATTTACCCTCCTGCCTGAGATAGCGGGAAACCAAGGCAAAATCCATGAGCAATGGTTTCAAGACAGTGGGCGTGAGGAAGTCAGGGCCTGTGAGTCCTGGGAGACAGGAAACAGTCACAGTGAGCTCTGGGAATGTGCCACTGTCTGGGAAGTGTTCCCAGGCAGTGGTGGGGGTGAAGTCCCAAGTGGAGCTTGGCACACTCCCTGAGAGGAGGAACTGGGATGGAGGGTCTGGGCAGCCAGGGCCTTCAGGACCGAGTATGAGAGGGGAGAGGATAATGCAGAGAGAGAACTCTGGGGAGCATCCACTTTGCTAATAATCAGTGGAGTATTCATGAACACACGCATGTGAGGGAACACCCAGAGGTGGAGAAAGAACCACCCCAGGGAATTTGAGGGAGTGGCCGGGCGGGGCTCACACCTGCAATCCCAGCACTTTGGGAGGCCGAGGCAGGCGGATCACCTGATGTCAGGAGTTTGAGACCAGCCTTGGCAACATGGTGAAACCCCGTCTCTACTAAAAATACAAAAATTAGCCGGGTGTGGTGGCGGGCGCCTGTAGTCCCAGCTACTCAGTAGGCTGAGGCTGAAGAATCACTTGAACCCAGGAGGCGGAGGTTGCAGTGAGCGGAGATCGTGTCACTGCACTCCAGCCTGGTGACAGAGTGAGACTCCATCTCAAAAAAAAAAAAAAAAAAAAAAAAAGGCTGGGCACGGTGGCTTACGCCTGTAATCCCAGCACTTTGAGAGGCCACCGCACCCAATCAACAAAATTTTAAAAATCACTTATGATTATCTCAATAGTCACAGAAAAATTTTTTGACGAAGTTCACCATCCATTCCTGATTTAAATAAAAATCTCAGCAAACAGGGAATGAAATTTCCTTAAACTGATAAAGACAATCTGTGAAAAACCTATATCTAACATCACATTTCATAGTGAAAGAATAGATTATTTCCCTGCCCCCCAGATCGAAAACAAGACAAGGATCCCTGCTCTTCTCACTTCGACTCAATACTGCAGGGGGGACCCTACTCCATGCAATGGGGCAGGAAAAGAAATAGGCTTCTTGCTTGGAAATGAAGAAGTAAAGTTGTGTTCTTTTGTAGACGACATGATTGTCTCTGTAGAAAACGCTAGTATCTACAAAAAAGGCACTGCAACTAATAAATAAGTTTAGCAAAGTTGCAGGATACAAGATCAGTATACAAAAATCCACTATTTCTTTTTTGTTTTTCTGTTTTGTGTTTTGTGTTTTTTTGTTTTTGTTTTTGTTTTTGTTTTTGAGACGGAGTCTCGCTCTGTCGCCCAGGCTGGAGTGCCGTGGCGCGATCTCCACTCACTGCAAGCTCCCCTGCCTCCCGGATTCACGCCATTCTCCTGCCTCAGCCTTCCGAGTAGATGGGACTACAGGTGCCCATCAGCACGCCCGGCTAATTTTTTTTGTATTTTTAGTAGAGATGGGGTTTCACCGTGTTAGCCAGGATGGTCTTGATCTCCTGACCTCGTGATCCACCCATCTCGGCCTCCCAAAGTGCTGGGATTACAGGTGTGAGCCACCGCGCCCGGCCATGTTTTGTGTTTTTTTGAGACAGGGCCTCACTCTGTCGCCCAGGCTGGAATGCAGTGGTGCGATCTCGCCTCACTGCAACCTCTGCTTCCCAGGTTCAAGTGATTCTCGTGTCTCGGCCTCCCGAGTAGCTAGGACTACAGATGCGTACCACCACACCCAACTAATTTTTAAATTTGTAGTGGAGACGGGATTTTGCCATGTTGGCCAGACTGGTCTTGAACTCCTGACCTCAAGTGATCCACTTGCCTCAGCCTCCCAAACACTGTATTTCTATATACTAGCAAAGAATAGCTATAAATTGAAAATATAGAAATAAAATAAAGCCGGATGGTTTGGGGATAAAAAGCTAGGCTGTGGGGGCGGTGGTCAGCTGAATCCAGGGGAGGCGAGTGGGCGGATACGAGGTCAGGAGTCGGACATTGGCTAACATGGTGAAACCGCAACAAAAAAAAAAAAAAAAAAAAAAAAAAAGCGGGCGAGGTGGCGGGGCTGTGTCCAGCTACGGGAGGCTGAGGAGGGAAGGGTGAACCGGGGGCGGAGCTTGCAGTGAGCTGAGATCCGGCACGCACTCCAGCCTGGGCGACAGAGCGAGACTCATCCAAAAAAAAAAAAAAAAAAAAGCCAGGCTGTGCTAGGGAGCGGGGCGGGGACTGAGGGGAGTGAGGAGCGCTTCATCCCCAAGGCTGGTGTTTCCTTCCCTTGGAGGATCTTCCCTGGGGCTTGGTATGCAGCAATCTTCAGAGAAATGACTGTGCCTTAGAACTCGGTGTCTATGTTGTCATCCGTGTGTGTTCGGCCAACAACTCCCCTTTAATGCCAGCACTTTGGGAGGCCGAGCCAAGCAGATCACCAGAGGTCAGGGGTTCGAGACCAGCCTGGCCAACATGGCGAAACCCTGTCTCTACTAAAAATACAAAAATTTGCTGGGGATGGTGGTACGCACCTGTAGTCCTAGCTACTCGGGAGGCTGAGGTAGGAGAGGAAGGGAGGCAGAGGTTGCAGTGAGCACAGAGCACACCACAGCACTCCAGCCTGGGTGACAGAGTGAGACTCCATCTCAAAAAAAAAAAAAAAAAAGACAACCTCCTTTATGCAAGAAATGAGAAATCTGCATCTTTTGACCCTTTCCAGAAAAAAGACAAAGACTTATTCCAGACAACCAAGAAAGGAATCAAAACCAGAAAGTTAAAAAAAAAAAAAAAATGGTAAAGCCACAGAGGAGAAGGACTCACGGTGAGCACGGAAAATGAGGACATGTACAGTTAGTGAAACGCGTGCAGGAGGAGAAGCTGCTCATTGAGAAATAAAATGTACAAAAATAAGAACAGGCTCTTGTCCCAACTAAGCTGACAAAATGAAGAGGAGGCTATGTGGAAGGAAGGGTGAGTAAAGCAGAAACACACAAGATTAGTGTGGTACAAAACAGAATTCATTGTTACTGTGTGGAAAAAGCTGTGAAACTACAATTCATCATAAACTCTTAGAAATAAATGTTTTGCCTCATCCAAAATAAGGCACATAAATAACACCCAGAGACTTACCAAAAGAGTGCCTGACAGATGTGCTTCCTCCAGGAAGGAGAAGGGAGCTCAACAGGAACAAATCGGTTATGGAAAGGACTGGCGAGCGCGGAGAATGGGAAACACAGTGGGGAATTGGGAATTCAAACTGGTGTTGACAGAGGAGGAGGCTGAGGACAACTGTGTGTGTTTAAAAACACCTGGGCCGGGCATGGTGGCTCACGTCTGTAATCCCAGCACTTCGGGAGGTCGAGGCAGGCGGATCACTTCAGGTCAGGAGTTTGAGACCAGCCTGGCCAACATGGTGAAACCCCATGTCTACTAAAAATACAATGATTAGCTGGGCACAGTGGTGCTGGGAGCCTGTAATCCCAGCTACTGGAGAGGCTGATGCAGGAGAATCCCTTGAACCCGGGAGGCGGAGGTTGCAATGAGCCGAGATTGCGCCACTGCACTCCAGCCCGGGCAACAAAGCAAAACCTTGTTCCCCACACCCCTCCAAAAAAAAAAAAAAATACAGTATAACAAAAATAAAAATTAAAACACGCTGGGACTACACTTCCCTAATATGGGAGACCAGGCCATTTACACCGACTCAACTGCTGAAAAGTACTAATTAGGCTGGAGAAAAAACATACTTTTTAAAAAAACTTCCTAGGCCGGGCGCGGTGGCTCAAGCCTGTAATCCCAGCACTTTGGGAGGCCGAGACGGGTGGATCACGAGGTCAGGAGATCGAGACCATCCTGGCTAACACGGTGAAACCCCGTCTCTACTAAAAAATACAAAAAACTAGCCAGGCGAGGTGGCGGGCGCCTGTAGTCCCAGCTACTCGGGAGGCTGAGGCAGGAGAATGGCGTGAACCCGGGAGGCGAAGCTTGCAGTGAGCTGACATCCGGCCACTGCACTCCAGCCTGGGCGACAGAGCGAGACTCCGTCTCAAAACAAAAAAAAAAAACAAACAAAAAAAAACTTCCTAGAAACGTATGAGAGCTGCGAATGTATCAGGATGGGGGGCTGAGGAAAGCGGGGCGTAGGAGGTTGCTTTACAGGGATGGGGGATTGGAGGGAGGGTTTCTAACCCAGTGGGAGCTGAGGGCTTTGTGGGGAGGCCCCAGCACATGGTGAGGGAGAACTTCCCCAGGTTAAGCTGGGCCTTGACCTGGGTTAGCGAGAATTGGACCGATCCTCTCCCCAAAGCCCAGAGTCACTGAGTGGAGTAGCGGGGAGTAGAAAGTTCCAGAGTCGCTGAGTGGAGTAGCGGGGAGTAGAACGCTCCCCAAAAGCCCAAAACCGAGTACAGATTCACAGCCCAGGCTGGGCCCACCAGGAAGACCCCTGAAACCTCAATCTGTGAATCTGGTTTAAACGGCCGGACAGTCAGGCACTGCTCCTGGCGCCACCCGGCAACAATGGGAATCCAACCCCCGGGAGGCCCTCCATCCTGGGACTTTGAGCCACTGAAGGTAAACAAGCACTCCAGGAAGCAGAGAGCCTGGAGTGACGCTGCAGAGAGGCTGGGCCCACGGTGTCCTCCAGTGACCAGCCACAGGCCAAGCAGGAGAAAAAACAGGCTTGAAAATACAGGCAGC